CTTACATTGCTGACGCGCATGGCTATGGCGACGCGCGCGCATACCAGAAACCAGAGCCTTTTTTTGGCCTAATAATCGTTTTCTTCGTTTTGTATGAATAAAAAGGAGTAAATGCTTCAGATTTCAAATATGCACTTGTCATTTACAAGGCTGGGTTGGGGCAACCTTGAAATTATAAAGCAAAATAATTCTGCGCAAAAACTACTGCATTTATTAAAGTTCATAAAGTACAAATGATACCATATGTTTGTATGAATAAAGCATGGCATTTGCTTTTTCTACCACTTTCGAAGCATTTACTCGCATCAGTATGAATGAAAATTAAGCAAACACTTTTACTAAAAACCATTTGCTCTTGAGTAAATGGCCTGCAAAATGTAAAGCTTTACATGTTTATAAGTTTGCAGAAAATAAAAATATCATAACCGAAACGGAAAGCGGCACCGGGGAGGGTCACGTACTGGAGGACAGATACAAAAAAAGCGCATCAAACGCGACGAACGCAATGCCGTTTACGTGTACAATGTGCTGTGCATCGGCACCCATGGTCTACATGTGGATTGGGTTTTCAGTCCCTACCCGATTCCGTGGGTTTTCCCCAGACTATTCTTCTGGGGTTTTCCTCCCACCTCTAAAACTGTAATTTCTTCTCATTGTCTTCTCTCTACGTGTTTTTTTTCGGGGTTTGCGAGCTACAGTGCCCGGGGCATGCACTTTTGAGGATCCTTGGTTTTATTAACAGAAAAAAAAATATTTATCGTTAACTTCGTTTCGTATGAATATAAAGGAGTAAATGCTTCAGATTTCAAATATGCACTTGTCATTAACAAGGCTGGGTTGGGGCAACCTTGAAATTATAAAGTAAAATACTTCTGCGCAAAAATTACTGCATTTATTAAAGTTCATCAAGTACAAATGATACCATGTTCGTATGAATAAAACATGGCATTTGTTTTTGCTACCATTTTGAAGCATTTACTCGCATCTGTGTGAATGAAAATTAAGCAAACACTTATACTAAAAACTGTTTGCTAAATTCTGAAAATAATTACTTTACCTTTAAGCTTTTGCTACACTATAAGCGTTTACTTCGTTTCTTATGAATAAAAAGGAGTAAATGCTACAAATTTTAAATATTTACTTGTCATATTTCAAGGTTGGGTTGGGGCTAGCTTGAAAATATAAAAGCACATAATTATGCGCAAAAATTACTGCATTTATTAATGTTAATCGCGAAAAAGTACAAATAATACCATATGGTAGTTCGTATGAATAAAAACTGGCATTTGCATTACTCCCATCTGTACGTTTCGTATGAATATAAAGGAGTAAATGCTTCAGATTTCAAATATGCACTTGTCATTCACAAGGCTGGGTTGGGGCAACCTTGAAATTATAAAGCAAATAATTCTGTGCAAAAGCTACAGCATTTATTATATGTTAATCGCGAAAAATTAATATTAACAAAGTCCATAAAGTACAAATGATACAGTGTTCGTATGAATAAAACATGGCATTTGCTTTTACTGGTACTTCCAATTTTGAAGCTTTTACTCGCATCTGTATGAATGAAAATTAAGCAAACACGTTCGTGTAGGTTTTATATGAATTAATCCCTAAACCCTATGATCTCAGAATAAATACAAGATTTCTATTGTTTTAGCCACTGTGACCTTGTCCCTTGACCTTTCGACCCCAATGCGATAGGCCTATGACCAAGAACGATCCACAAATCAAATGTGAAGTTCACATGTAAAGTATTCTCAAGTTATCGCGCTGACAAAATTTCTTTTGTTTTAGCCACTGTGACCTTGACCCTTGACCTTTTGGCCCCAAATGCAAAAGGCTTCTAAGGATTGCCAAGGACAATCTACAAACCAAATTTGAAGTTCATATGTAAAGTATATCTCAAGTTATCACGCTGACAAAATTTCTGTTGTTTTAGCCACTGTGACCTTGACCCTTGACCTTTTGGCCCCAAATGCAAAGGCTTCTTAGGATTGCCAAGGACAATCCACAAACCAAATTTGAAGTTCATATGTAAAGCATTTCTCAAGTTATCGCGCTGACAAAATTTCTATTGTTTCAGCCACTGTGACATTGACCCTTGACCTTTCGGTCCCAAATGCAATAGACTTCTTAGGATTACCAAGAACAATACACGAACCAAATTTGAAGTTCATATGTTTAAGTATTTCTCAAGTTATCGCGCTGACAAGATTTGTCCGGACACACACACACACCCACACCCACCCACCCACGGAAGGAAAAGGCGGAAACAGTATGCCCCTTCGGCTTCGCCGCGGGGCATAAAAATGCCTGAAAGGGCACCCCCTAGCACGTCCAAGAAAGTGAGACTATTTTTAATTTAAAAACCATTCATCCAAATTTTACCAAACTTACCCTATTTTCCTCGTTTGAATCAAGCTGCTCTAATGTACCGCCTCTTTACATATTTAGGCCACGCCCGCAAAATGATGAAAATAACACGTTAGAATGTTAGAATTTACAAAGTGAATGTAAAATACAGTTTTCTGAGGTTTCTTTTTTTTGCACTCCCCTTTTTGAAAAATCAAGCTCCGCCCCCCAAATGGGCAAGATCCAAGATGCGTTCACCTCTAAAAATTATGTTCGCCCATTTCAATTGGACATGCCAATTTTCAGAATTTTACCACCAAACTGAATGATGTTTTCCATATTAGAACCAAACTGCTAATATATACCGCCTCATTTACCATTTAGACCACGCCCACAAAATGGGTGGAAAATTAACAGGTGTTAGAATGCTAGAATGTCTTATTTCATGTTTAAGTTTATTTCAAAGCGTAAAAAAACAAGGAAATTTGATGTTAAATACAGTTTTTATGAGTTTGTATTTTTTGCACCCCCTTTTTTGAAAAATCAAGCTCCGCCCCCAAAATGGGCAAGATCCAGGATGGGTCCCGAGCTTAAAACGATTTTTAGCCCATTTTGACCCCACATGCCAAATTTCATGCTTTTACCACAAAGTGCACGATTTTTCGCTTAGCAGCTCCACTACTTGGCGATGTTACGATTAAACCATCTAAATCGTTGCGTAACTTGGGCGTTGTCATCGATCCTCCATTGAGCATGAGTGACCAAGTTTCTTCCATCGTTAAATGTGTCAGTTTTCATCTCTGGAACTTATCACGCATTCAACGTTTCATGAACCAAGAGACATGTAAAATGGCTGTTCAGTCGCTAATCTTCTCCCGGATTGACTATGGAAATGCGTTGCTTTACGGTGCCAATGAAGGTGACTTAACTCGTCTGCAAAGGCTACAAAACAGGGCTGCCAGACTAATTTTTCTTGTTGCTCGTGACCATCCGAGCGCACCGTTGTTACGTCGCCTTCATTGGCTACCAAAATAAGAACGCATACATTTCAAACTTCTTGTCATTGTATACAAGTGTATCAACTCTATGGCACCTTCATATCTCCAAGAACTCATCTCTTTCAACACATCTGTCTATGCCACCCGCTCATCATTTGACAAAACACGTCTCCATAACCCCCAAACTAAGTCGCGTACTGGAGATCGTGCCTTTCAAGCCGCTGCTCCCCGGTTGTGGAATTCCCTACCCCGTAACATCCGGGAAGCCAACCAGTGGCGTAGCCACCGGGGGGCGTGGGGGGGGGGGTCGCCCCCTGAAACCTTGTCGCCCCACCAGAGATTTTGAGTTTCTAAAATAATTATCATTGATCTACATGACGCCATGGGCCCTATTATGTACCACAATGTATCTTTTGCTTAGAAAATATTGGTTAAAGTGGTCAGAAATTGCCTCAGATAGCACCACAGAGCATTTAGAATCCAAAATTTTTCGGGGCCCTTTAGCGGGCCCCGAACCCCACGCCAATAAGCTCAGAATACCGATAGCTGATTCAATGTCTCCAACCTCGAAAACGATGTTCAAATAATTATCTTTTGCCAAGAAAATATTAGTTAAAGCATGGAGGAAAGTAGTCAGAAATTGCTTCAAATCACACCACAGAACATCTAGAATTCAAATTTTTTCGGGGCCCTTAAGCGGGCCCCGAACCCCACGCAGTAAGGGCTTTGCGCTTCGCGCTTGCATCAGTTATGATCAAGGTATGTCCCCCCCCACTTTCGAGAAGCGATTGACGCCCCTGCTTGACGCCCCCCCCATGAAATGTTCCAGCCCCCCCCCCAGCGCCCCCCCCCCCCTACTGAAAAATTCCTGGCTACGCCACTGAAGCCAACACACTTCAGCTCTTCAAAAATAGACTCAAAACCAATTTATTTGTTTAATCATGCCATATATTTTTTTGCTTGTATAGTTTTTTTGTATCTGTATCAATGCATTTTTTTGTTTGAATCTTTAATTATTTTGTCAGCTTTTGTAAAGCGCTCCAATCTTTGTGGGGCGCTATAAAAATGCCTATAGGCCTATGTATGTATGTATGTATGCATGAAAAAGACGGTCACTACGCATACGGAGCACATAGAACTGACAAGAGTTAATTAGTCAAAAAACGTGAGCGATATAGGAGCAAAATACCGCATCGGGTTCCAATAAAAACAAGGGGTTCATCATCAAAGGTAATCTGGCTCAGGACTGGAATTGTTATTTTTCTTTTCTGATTCAACTGAATAGAATTGTGTGTGGGAGCAGCTATAGGCTTATCGTCTTGTTGTTATTTATAAATGTCGATAATGTTCAAATTCACTGTTATTTTTTTGACAACAGGTTAATTGCTCAAAACCGACGTGGTATACTGTCCATCAACTATGGGTCTTTTCCAGTGCTTCAGAAAAATGTTCAGCTCCTCAACTCGAAGAAAACATGTGCAGAGGGACGCAATTCCAACACCTCTACATCGATGCCTTGGTGTAGTCGACCTGACTTTACTTGGTGTCGGAAGTATGATAGGATCTGGTAGTTTTCTTTTACCAGGACAAGTTTCTGGAGTAGTCGCGGGTCCGGCTGCTCTATTGGTTTTCTTCCTCTCGGGTATGTTGGCTTCACTGTCTGGCCTGTGTTACATAGAGTGTGCCTTACAGCTACCTGGAACGGGAGCGTCTTACCTGTACGCCTATGCGACACTTGGAGAGATGATAGCGTTCTTAACTGGGTGGAGTAGTGTGGCAGCACGAATCGTTGCGCTTGCTTCCATAGGACAGGTATGGAGCGCCTATTTAGACGATGCTTTAGGCGGCTCCATTGGAAATGCTACCGTCCAGTTTGTCCTTGGAGGTCAGGAATGGAATGCACCTCTTCTTGGTACCCATCCCGATTTTATCGCTGGATTGCTGATCCTTGTGTCTGGTGGTATTATTTCTTTAGGTACCAATGTATTCTCCAAAGCTAACAATTTATTCATGATAACCACTTTACTGACTCTGATGTTGGTTTTCATTGTGGCCATGATTCATGCAGATTTCTCCCTCGTAACAGAGCATGGGTTTGCACCAAGGGGAGTTGGATTTGATGAGATTGTAGGAAGTGCAATCAATGCTTACGCAGGTTATGCTGGGATCGAATCTATCGCCCTAGCAGCTGAGGAAGCAAAAGACCAATCCAAGGATCTCTTGATAGGACTTCTGTCTGCTCTTGGAATCAGTATCTTAGTCTACATGACTGGAGTCCTCTCAGTCACTGTATTAACAGAATACAGTAACATCGATCTTAAAACCCCGTTTGAGGCAGCGTTTAATGATCTTGATGGTCTACGTTGGATGAAGTACATCGTAGCAGTAGGTGCGTTATGCAGCATAACGGGAGGTGCTCTAAACATGTCCTACGCTATGACTCGTTTCATATATCCCATGTCAAGAGATGGACTTCTTCCTTCTGTGCTCTCCAGGACCAACGAGAGAACTAAGACTCCCTTGCTAGCTAACCTTCTTGGCACATGTATTTCTGTTGTTTTTGCCGTATTAATTGACATCAAGATTTTAATACAGACCGGCTCCATGCTATATACACTTGAGACCGTCATTATAATATTTGCGGTGACTATCTTGCGTTACAGACCCCTAACCGGAGTGGCGGGTACGTAGAATTGGGCGGCGTAGACAACGGTGATTTCAAGGAGGGTGCCAACGAGGCTCATGGACGCAAGAATACTACAACAGATTTGAAGGGATTGCTTAAACCTAAGCCAGAAACTGACACTGCTGAAACCAACGCTACAAACGAGCTACCAAAGCGTCCATCTTGGATTCACAAGGGCTGTGCCATCATTCTTCGATGGATCAGAGAACATACAACCAGATCCGTGATTCTTTCACTCTGTTTTCACCTCATCTTTGAGTTCCTTCTCGTAGCCTTGTTGACCTTCAAAATGGACGACTTGTTGCGAGTCCATGACCCAGGTCTAATACTCGGGATAGTCGTAAGCAGCGCTTTAACTCTCGTCTCGTGCTGTCCACTGTTACTTCTACCGCAATACACCGATGACCTCCCATTCAAAGTAAGATTTCAAAACAAATAAAATAATTTAGTAACAAAAAGCCATTTACCTTCGGCATATTGAAACATACACGAACAGAAGCGATTCTTTATTTTACCATGTTGTTATACAAAGAAGCCATGGGGAAAAATCCATATCTGCAAGCCTTTTCTCATATTAAATAACCGGCCTATCCATCAACCGAACATTTGGGTGCACACCTGTTAATAGGCCTCAACCCCTCCGCCAAGCTCATGAATAAAAAGTTATACCTCAAAATGTTTTATATTAAAGAGTTCTGAGAGCCATAAAATTGGGGAATTGAAGAGATGGCAATGAACCTCTAGCCCGGACTTAGGGCTTTCAATTCTGAGCATTTTTGATGCAATTGTGTTCGAAAGTGGCGCTAATTTCTCGAAAAGGCAATGGTCAACCCACCAAAAAATGAAAAGAAACTGAAATATGACATGTTGATCATTTTTTTCTGTGCAACTTAAATACATGTGAGAGTTCTTAGTATTTGTAAAACAATTTTGAAGTATGGGCGTTTAGCAATGGTGTCTGTTGAAATTTTAATACATCTGACAGGAAAGCATTAAAATGTCTCCCTAATATATCTTGTCTTCCTTATGTACAACTTTTTTTAAAGCAAATTGTGTCTCCCTGATGGGCCGTTTGCGATATTTTGATGAATTCAAAGACAGATATAATCATTTTACGTCTATGTTGTTCAATAAAAAAAATTGTCGTAAGCGGGACCTGAACCTGCGCCCCCTGAACACCCTGAGCACCAGTCGCACTCTAAATCAGTTATTTATTCGATTAGCGCAACATTTTCAGCATTTCCAAGTTTTTAATTCCTGTGATTTTGTTGGTCATAACAAACTAAATGGTTAAACGTACTATTAATTTCGAATTGGCGAATGCGCAGTACTTTGAGTTTTGAAAAAAAATAACCCAAATATTCTGGACTTTTTGTTGATACAGGTACCACTGATGCCCTTGCTACCGCTGATTGCTTTGCTTGCTGCTGTCATTCTGTTGCTACACTTTAATTCCTTGGTCTATGTAGGAGTCGTCGTTTGGTTGTGTTTAGGTAAATAATATCACATTATATGCTGCCCATGCAGGATATAAGCGGGAAGGGGAAAATACGCACAAGACTCGAAGGCATGTGCAGCTATTTTTTTCCCGCTGAGATGCTATTGCTCCTTGTTCGAATGTATTTTGAGCTATGTTAAATTAATCCAAGGCGAAAAGCTTCACAAAAGATCATAACATGTCAGAACATTGACAGATCATTACATTTCCGTCAGAAACAAAGAAAATATGGACGACCGCCCACCCCAAAACAAACCAACCTGTACCCACAATCGTCATGAAATTAGTTTTAGTAACTGTTTCTGACGAAACGTTTAGCGACGTATTCTTGATTACAATGGCGACCGATTAATATCGCGTGTAGCCACGTGTTCAGTAAGTCAAAGAAGACCAACATATGTTAAATGATTCTGTGAATCCCATATGTCCGCTATCGACGTGTACTATTTCATCAAGATGGAAGTTCTGCTCAAGGTTGTCACCCTATATATTTTGTTTTGGTTCTTGCAGTGAAAGAACTTAAATTAGTGACGCACTCACAAATGATTATTTAGGTATTAACATAAGATTTCGTACAAATCCCCACCAGTTGAAATGTCCTTAATACGTGGTTAAATTCGCACTTCATTTGTTTTCTGAATCGACTTGTCTGTTTTCTCCTGACAGGACTCATCGTGTACTTTACGTACGGCATGAAGCACAGCGTGGAGGCCACACGACAAGATGTTCACCTGAATGATCAGTGACGAAGGCAGTGATGTCATTGCCAATGAAATGTTTCTTTGTGTTGGCTGATCAATGACGTTTCATTTTCTCATTGGCTGATGATTTCTGGATCCAATTTCATGTGGCTTCCAAGCAGAATTACATGAGAACTAGTCATAATAATGATGCTGTATTCATTTCATGACATTTTCTGAAAATCTGTTTTCTAAGAACACGGTCATAATTGCGAATATATCCATTGAATGACTTTTTAGGCTTGTATAACGTTTCGTGTAGCAAGTCATTGCTGCGTATAGCAGATTTCAGTGCTCACCAGATCCACGTAGTTAATTGGCATTTGGTTTGAATCCAGACGTACTTACCATAAGAGGATCCCTACGCCCAAAATCGACTCCAGACACAAGACGTCTACAAGCCTCATCAGCGTGACTCCATCCCATGCATGCCATAGGCCAATTTCGTAAAGAGCTCATCTATCAAATATTGTTCCCTCTGACAGACATTTTAAATGTTCTCACCGATATTAGGTACATGAATTAGTTCCTGGCTTTCATATAGAAGGCTCATTGACATATTCGGCGAATCATACATTCGACTGCCTTTACACTTGGCACACATAGTCCAGCACTTGGGGGGGGGGGGGGGGGGGGCTGGAACATTTCATGGGGGGGGGCGTCATGTGTAGATCAATTATATTTTTTCTAGAAACTCAAAATCTCAGTGGGGGGGGGGGGGCGACTGGGGGGGGGGGCGACAAGGTTTCATGGGGGGCTGTCGCCCCCCCCCCCCAACCCCCCCACGCTCCCCTGTGGCTACGCCACTGCAGGTCATACAGTTAAAGTTTATGTAAACTTGTATGTAAAGTCAAAGAAAAGTAATTCCCATGATCTGTTTGACACCAAGTTTGTGTTAACTTGCCGGTAACGCCCTAAAAAATATCCAGACAAATATGTTTATTTTGTAACATTTTATGTTCGTCTGTCGGTCTTATATGCTGTTTTGTTTACTTTTAGGTGCCTTCAATGGTACTATGTTTAATTCAATTCAATTTTTTTTTGCTGGACATTTATTCAACGTTGTTCATTAATACACAAAATTAATGTATTATAATTGGATATAAAATGAATTCAAACCAACAGTTATCATAAATCAACAACATACATACTGGAACAACGTTAGGTATAGAGTGAAGCATCCTGTGGACAATACCTACTTTTACCATACAAGTTGCGAATAGGGACAAAAACGCAGGGACAAAACAGGAACATAACAAAACAAACAAAACAAACAGGAGTAAAAATAATTATTCATCAGACATTATAAGAGTTAAGCAATTGAGTTTTCATTTTTTTGATGAATGTAGATAAAGTTAACGATAATTTAACTGAATCACTCAGCCTGTTCCAAAGGTCAATGCGCCGGTGGACAAGGCCGTTTTCAACATTGACGTTCTACTGGAATAAACGTAAAGGTTTTGCTTTGAAACGCTTCTAGTATTATATGAATGAATATTCAAGGTGAAAGTAAAGAAATTGTTGAAACAATATGGGAGTAAATTATTTGAATATTTATACATGAATTTACCTAAATTTAGGTAATAAAGATCATTAAATCGTAAAATCTTGAGGGCAGCAAATAAGGGATTAACCTGTTCATTTGTTTAATTAAACTAATAACGCACATCATAGTTGCCAAATATGGCACTAACAAGTTTGAGGTCGGCAATTTCGTCTTTAAAAATCTCGGTACGTCGGGTTACCGTACACACAATTGTCCTGGAGATAACAGTACCAAAGGCCGGATTACATAAGAACTTATAATAGACTTCAACCGACACAGGAGAAGGTTACATATTTAACTAAACATTTCCAAGCGATTAAGAAAACTCAGGGAGAATTAGATATGAGCCGAATTTAATCACCGCCGCAGCTATACTCTCTCATAAACCGTAGCACATTTTCTTTAATGAACAGTTTTTAATTTTTGAAAAACGGAGCCGTCTGAAGAAAAGATGCTCAACTTTTTATCAATTACTGTTGCGGAGGCTATGAATTTGACAATTATGTCAGGAGGGGGCTCAAGCTGAGGTTCCCAAAGCTGAGCTTGATCGCCCAGGAATTAATCCTCTAGATGAAGTGGGACCACACCAGCATCAGAAGAACGGGCGCGATATTTGTGAGAGAAGTGGCCCAATATATGATTTTATCTGTTTTACAAATAAAACTCAAGAATTACAGGTTTTCTCTTAGCTAGAAGGAACAAATACCGGCTGCACCACTTAAGAGCACCATTTTCGGCCGGTAAAAATACAACAAAAAATAGTAGTAGGATTAATCATAACATTTTGCAAATAAATGGCCTTATCACAGGAAATATATCATCTAAAAAAAATAATAATAATTACCGTGAAATCTTGCATTTGCAAGCTGGTTCAATTTTTATTTAGCACAGTTAATCCAAAATTAACAACAACAAAAGCATGTTTGGCTTCCGTGCCGGTACGGTGAGAAGCGACGGGCCTGTAATAAACATTAATGCAAAACTCGTCGCAAGAGGACGCCATTGATAAGTAGCGCCCTCTTTGAAGTTAAGCTCCAATTTTTTACAATTTTGGTGAGTTAGGTTTTTAGATAATTCCCTGCCTAGTTTTCTGTACCCTGAGATGGTATTTAAACACGCTTGATGTATTAATAGGACATTTGACCGTTTATTGTCCTGTAATATACTGATGTCTGGGTCACATATGGTTTTAAACCACTGTGACGTGCATAACGCACGGCTACACCATCGTACAGTGTGGCAGGGACACCAACAAGTAACAAAACAACTAAAAAAAATTAAAAACATGATAAATATTCTGATTGAATTTCGTTAAAAGATACTTGTTGGTGAGGTATCACATATTCTAGCAAATTGATAAAAATGTACAATATTACAATATGCAATTTTGAGGGAAATGGGCAAAATACTGCATAAATAATTTCACTTGATCGTAATTCATAATACACAAACCGACAATTTTCATTTTCAGACCCACAACGAGAAATATTGTTAACACTGGGCTTATTGTGAGGAGTTGTGCTGGGAATCCATGAAGATGTTATTTTCAACATAATTTATGTGTGGGAAAGTATGGTACACAAACATGACTGTGTGAGTCAAAAGCAGTTGTTGATGCGATCCCTGAATTTACAGCACTCCGTTTAAGGGTGCACACCAATACATAAATTCCCATAGGCACCAAAGATAAATACCCCAATTTAAACAAATCGGGGAACATACTCTGAACCCTCACAGGTGGAATTTTTTTTTTGGGGGGGGGGGTTGACCTATGACTTTTGGGTGACTTTTTCCCTCCAACGATGATCACCCCATCGCCTTCTACAAATACAGACCCTCAAGTGCAGGGGTCAAAATTCTTTATTATTACAGATAAACTAGTATACAAATCGTAATTTGGCCGGATTAGGTCGCGCCTATTTGGGCTGCCTCTCATACGTACTGCGATCGGGAAATCTCCAGCGTAATAAAGACTTGAAGAAACTTTATTTGATTTATTTGATTCAATTATTTTATTTTAAATCTTAAAACATAAAATAAAAGCTAAAAGTTGGACAGGCTGCCACGGATATATAAAAGTAAAAAAGAAACAATTGTCATCAGACGATTATCCAAACCCCTGCCAATAAAACAGATTTAAAATTCCATTCATAACAATTAAAGTACTATTGAAAAGTAAATTGTACAAATCATATGAAACCACACGAGACGAGACAAGACGAGACATGACGAGACGAGACAAGACGGGGAGATGAGACAAGACTCAGCAAAAAAATCATAGAGTGAAACATTACACAAACCAGACAGATACAAAAATATAAAAACGAACTAATAAATAAATACTCTTACAACCCAACAAACAAACAAACAAACAAACACCCCAACAAACAAACAAACAAAACAAACAACCAGACTCAATAACGGGAATGAGAAACAAAAGCAATCCCATTCTCCACGGAGAGAAAAATGCAAACCATAAAAACAAACAACCTATTTTAAGATGGAACCTTGCGTCGGGGTGACAAACAACCTAGTTGATATACATAGGTCTACACTCACATTAAATACACACACTACAGAAACACAAGAAAATACCCGGGAACAAAATGAAAAAAGACACAATTATACATTGACGATAAAATAAATATGACTGCAATAATTCCTCCCTCAGTTTTGAAAGAACAGATTCACAACCTTCCATAGTTAAAACTTTTTTCTAATTTTAACACGGTGACTTCGGAGAACATCAATGAGGCAATCGAACAGTTCTCGTATCTTGTAATCCATGGTCTATCAGTTCTAAGTTTCAAGTGGTGACACGTTAAAGGCTGTGCGACGGAGCTGCCCTGCAATTCATTCCTGAAATTATTGTTGCATTCCCTATTAGTTCATTAACTTTATATTAGAATCAACATTATTATCTATGATAACGAATTTGGCGGAAAACAGAGCTTTCACACAGTGACTTTACTGGTTTATTTAACTTTGTGGGGATTCCTCCAATGTCAGGCTTTTCCTTGGTTTCAACACCGGTGTCGGAGTCTCAGTGGGGGAACCAAGTAAGCCAAAGATTCTAGCTGAACCAAGTGGGCACGGTGCGAGCTATCGCTTCGCAGAGACGGCCGGACTGAAGCGGGAGCGGACCGCTACAGTGACGGGGAAGCAACAGCTGGACGGGGCCAGCGAGTGTACCGGATTACACTACAGTTCGAGCCATGGTGTGCATGGTCAACCGGGGCCAGTGGCGTAGCCAGGAATTTTTCAGTGGGGGGGGGGGGGGGGGGGGGGGGGGGGGGCTCGAACATTTCAAGGGGGGGGGGGCGTCATGTAGATCAATGATAATTTTTTTAGAAACTCAACATCTCAGTGGGGGGGGGGGGGGCGACTGGGGGGTCGCCCCCCCCCCCCACGCCCCCCCCCCCCCCCCCCGGCTAAGCCACTGCTAATACTGCCGTATTTTAGAGAGG